GTATTATCATTAGTCCCATTTTACAGAAAGTAAATAGCTAAGAGGGTTTAAGTAACTTTCTAAAGGCCATTGCACACACCGAAATGGGACAAAGAGCAGAATCTGAACCAAGGCGACTGCTCGGAAGAGCACTGTCAGCCTCCTGGTAGCCTGCCTCCTGAGATGACACCAGAGACACCAACTAGAGCCAGGGGGTCACTCCAGGTTGGTGGCCCTTTGGAGAAGCAAGAGTTATTTCGGGATTTCTGGCCTAGAGAGCTGGGCAACTGTGCCAGGCTCTACACAACGTACAGCCTCATTAAATACAGGCTGAAGCAATGACTGGGCTGGATGGGTCATCAGAGCTGGAGCAGAGGGGAGCGGTAAAGCATTCAGGGCTTTCTGGCTTGAGCCAGGGATGCACTGATAGCATCTGAAACATAAATCTCTGTCTTGGGGAGAGGAGGCTGGCACTGCTGATCTGGGACTTGTTGGTGACAACAAAACTGTAGGAGTGAACAGACTCTCCAAGGGAAGACACAATTTTCAGTTTTAGTAAATAAATCAATTGCATTGTTTTTGTGTTTTGTTTCTTACCAGAACACAATCTTTGAAAGCTGTGCTCTAAGACACTGTGAGGAGAGTGAGAAAGATAATGTCTTAGTCACTTTCTCGTTGTTGAGACATAATACCAGACACCCACAACTTAAAGGAGGAAAGTTTATTTTGGCTCATGTTTTAGCCCACAGTCAGTGGGCTCCAAGTAAGGACAGCATGACAGAGGGCCCTGGCAGTGGAAGATTGTTCACGGCATGATTGACAGGAGCCGAGCGGCAAGGAGGAGCCAGGAAGGGAGACAGGACCTTCCACTCATGGTCTCTTCCAAGCCCCATCGCTCAACAGTGAGTCAGCTACAATGCCTCATGACCCAGTCACCTTCCATTGGTCCCCACGGTGGTCACATGAGACTTTAGGGGGACACCTAGGCATAAACTACAACAGATAAGGGGACCATCTTCAAATAATAGAGGTGGCCACAGGCATTTCCTTTCCCTGCTCCAGCTGCAGAGCTAGTGCTGGGGGAGAACTCCAGGGGGCCATATCCCCTCAAGTCAAAAAAGGCAGACTTTCCAAAGACTCTTACTGCCCACCAGTAGGAGAGCCTCCCCAAGAGGCAGTCAACTCCCAGTCACACAGGGCATACAGAGCCTCACATGGTCTTACCCAGGGTGGGCATGGTGTTTGAAGTATGTCTCCTCCAAGATTTAAGTGTTGCCAGTGGGATAAGATAAATAGGCAAGAGGTGCCTGGATCGTGATGCCTCCTCCATTGTGAATGGGACTAAGTATGGTTCTTACAAAAGAGATTTCCCAAGCATTCAGTCTCCTCGAGGGCACAGCCTTCTTCTTTCAAGGCACCATCTTGGAAGCAAAGAGCAGCTCTCTCTAGACAACCAAACCTACTGACACCTTGATCTTGGACTGCCCAGCCTCTAGAACTGTGAGGAATAAATTTCTATTCTTTATAATTTACCCAGACTCAGGTATTGTGTCACAGCAGCACAGGCAGTGGGAAAGCAGACCAAGTCACTTCTGACAAACTTCCAGCCTTGAATCTCTGCAGCTCTGAGCCAGAGCATAGCTGAGATCTCTCCAACAGTGTTCTAGAATTTCTCTTCCTCCAGAACACAAGTCATCTTAACTAACAAATAGGAACTCTGGTCTAGAAGGAAACACACACACACACACACACACACACACACACACACACACACATACACACACTGCACTTGCACCACGTCACAGGTATGCTGTGCAGGGCCTGAGGCTACCTATAGTCATCTAGGGCAGGGACCAGAGATGTGGACGGAGGATGGGTGTGGTCATCCAGTTTCTACTAAAATTTAGCCAAGTGAACAACAGCTATTGTGGATGGGAGAAGTAGTGAGCATATTCTTAACCAAAGTCCCCAATATCACTCCCAAGAGATATGACAGCAACATTCACCCCCATTCTACCTCCCTGCAGCAGCAGCAGCAGCAGCAGCTGACCTCTCCTGAGGGATGTGTTTCAAGCACTACAGCTCTGGCAGCTGTAGGTCACACTCGGGATAGCGCCTCTCTCCAGGTTCAGGAAGCAGACCTCCAGCTGCTGAGCCACCACCCCTAACCTAGCACCTAGGACCCTAACAGATAAGGAAACAGAGACCCAAGATCACAAACTAATAACATAAGCAACTTTGAAAACCAGATGTCTGCCTGTCTATCTGTTACTCTGTGCATTTTGCAGTGCTGAGGACCAAACTCCAGGCTTTGCACATGTTAGGCAAGTGCTCTATCACTGAGCACATCCCCAGTCCCACCCAGATGTTTTGAATCCAACACCCTTTCATTCAAAAATGTGCTGCAAACATCTGCTCCTTGTTAGACACTATGGGACCCTGGAAATGTGAAGATTAATGACATTATTGTCCTGAGGCAGGAGAGAGAGCCACTGAAAATTACAATCTGGCCAGTGGGGTACATACCAGAAGCAAATCCTCCTCCCACTGCTGTCTGGCCAGAGCCATTCCCATTGCCCCATACAGGAGAAGGCCACCAGCTGCAGAGAAAACATGACAAGAAGGTGGAGACCCAGGGGCTGATGACTGTCCTCCCATGATGGCAGGAAGGGTAGGTGATTGGGTTACCGGAGCTGAGAGGGTAGACAGAGTCAGACAGAGCAGAGAGGAAGTCAACTGCTTGCCTGAGCTGGACAATTATGATGGTGACCATTTGACTGACCTGAGTGGCAGATGGTAAGGCTCAGCTAGAAGAGGAGGTGATTAGAAAGAGACCAAAATTTCCACTTCATGAAATCCTACTGTATGCTACACTGTTCCCAACCCCCCTCAAGAGTTCCATCAAGTAAGCAATGTGATTCCCACACTGCAAGTTGGGAAGCTGAGGCCCAGAGGAGTTATTATGGGACCAAAGTCATTCAGGCCGAATTGTCTTGAGTTAGAATTCAAATTGTAAGTGTTGGGCTGAGTAAGTGACCTAGAGGACATGGTCTGCTGCCCATCAGGAGGGCTGAAACAGGGACTGACCCTGGGCAGAGGGAGGGACAAAGGTGCCCAGCTCCAGGCCAGAGCTGAGGCTACCATGCAGTCTGGCTGAGCCAGGTCTGAGGGCTGCAGGCCCTGAAGCAGAACAAGCACTCCAGGAGGATGAGTGCCAGGGATACCTGGCTTTGCCCCTTCCAGGTTCTGGAGGAGAAAGACAGTCTTAAGGCCCAACAGGGCTCAGAGTAGAGCCAAGGCAGTGCACTGGGGCCTCCCTTCAGCCTGGATGGAGCTAGGTTTTTTTCATTTTCCATTCTCTTTTTGGCCACTGTGACACCTTCCCACAAAGGTCAGGGTGACAAAGTAAGATAGACTCCCTGCAGATGAGGACTTCCAGAAGCTGAAGGACTACCTGGATCTCCCAGTGGTTCTGGAGTAAGCCTAGTGACACCTGTCCTGTCCTGATTCCTTGCCCTATTGTCCCCATAGGTATTCTGGCTCCTGGTTGAGGCTCCCTGGACAATGGTTTGGGTTAAAGTCCACCAGCTCTGTCCAGTTTGGGCTCCAGAAAGCAAGCTTCCTGGCAGTATCTGAACTCTCGGTCCTCTGACTACAGCCTTGGCCCAAGCACCCATGGTTCCAAAGGCCAGAGAGTTGAGTATCCTCTGGATTAGTGTCGTCTGGTCATCACACATAGGAGTCTGCTAAGGTGACCCAGCCTCAAAGCCTCTACATCCTATCCAGCTACCACAACCTGACACTTGGCAGGAAAGCAGAACACCTCTTTAGGACCAGAAGGCATCCACACAATATCAGTACCACTGCTGTACCCCCAAAACACTGAGGAACTAAAGGGCCTTGGTCTGGCTGGGCATAGTGGCCCACATCTGGAGTCCTAGGACTTGGGGGGCTACGGCAGGAAGATTGTGAATCCCCCCCCAACTCTCTCTATGGAGCAACTTAAAAAGGTCTGAGCTTGCACAGTGCTATTGGCTAGTGGCACAGAGCACTGTCCCACACACTCCTCATTCCATCTTCATGGCAATCCAGCAAAATTGGAATAAAGCTCCCGAGTTCCAGATGAGAAGACCCAGCAAGGTCACAAGGCTGCCCAAAGACATACAAAGAGAAGAGGTCACAGCCAAGATCAACCCCAGCTTTGCTGCATCTGAATCTTGGTTTTCGTCAGTCTCTTGCCTACTTCCCAGATCTGAGTCTATGTTTCTCCAGCCAAAGTACTTGGATAGACTCCAGATTCACACGCACATGAGGAAAAACATCTGGATATTTTAGACTACCCAGTCCACAGCCACGCAGATCAGCTGCAGAGTCTGGTAACTGGCTCACTGGCACAGGAGGACACCTCTGGATTGCTCATCCTGGTTGACCTCACCTCAGATCAAACTATCAGCCAAACAGGAAATGCACCCAGAGGCCTACCCAGTAATTCATCAGGTACCAAGTCACTCCTGCAGCATGAACAGAGGCCTCCTCCACCACATCAGAGTTCAGCTCCATCCAGAAGATGGCACCTCCCAGCCTGGTGTCCATAGCAATGGAGTCCATATGTGGGCTCCTACTGGTTTCCAGTGAAGCATGTAAGTGTGCACATGCATGTGCCAGGGAAGCTCGAGGCAGGCCCACCTCACTGCAGAGACTGACTCAATGCCTGAAGGTCAGAAAGGTCAGAAAGGACTGAGAGGGCACAGGCACCAGGCACCCACAGCCCACGGTGCTAAGTGAGGGTGTGAAGCAGGACAGCCCCTGTGCCTGAAGCCATGTGCTGCCACCTAGACCCTCAGGCAAAGATAATACCTTGCAATGCCCTCCCCAAGTGGGGTCCAAATTGGAAGAGAAGAACTAAGATCTTGGGCACCATCTTGTAAAAATCACCCACGTTGCTGCTTGGGGGTGAGAGCACTCAACCCAGAGCAAGGCCAAAACACTGGCCACTGCCCAAGGGGAGGGTGGGCACCTACCTGGACTTCGCGTGTATGATAAGCGATGATCAAACCCAGCAGGATGATGGTGGATAGACTGATAAGGCATTTCAGGGCCAATGAAAACATGGAATCCTGCAGGAGAAATGGAAAGAGAATTAGGGAGGGCCAAGAAAGGAGCATCTCAATTTCATCAGAGTCGGGACAGAAGAGGGACTGTCCCTAGTTCATCCGGGGAGCAGGGTGGCAAATAGACTTAACCAGAAGAGCTCTGGACTGTGCCTGGGCCAGTGCTGTCTCTAGGACTGCCCCCCACCAGAGCCTCAGTTTTTGAGAATTAGATCATTCTTGTATTTTCAGGATGAACCCTGCCTGGGGATGATGTATTATATTTGTTATATCCAGCTCAATTTGGTTTGTTGATGTGTTATTTAGAATTTTTGCCTCTGTGCTCATAAGTCATGAGAACATAATTCTTTTTTGTGCCACTATTATTTGGTTTGAGCATCCATATTATGCCAGCTCAGGTCTCTGTTTTCTCTTAACAAACCAAAAGCAGAGGATTTCCAAGTCCCTTCCATCTCTGACAATGCAGAGTTCTTTTAGGAATGAATTAGAGTGTCCTGGCAGCTCTTGGCAATCCTGGCACAGGCCAAGAGCAGCAGGGGGGGCAGGAGCAGCAGAGGAGCTACTGGGGGAAGAAGAGGAGCAAGGAAAAGAGAGGAGTCCTGGACAAGTGAAAGCCCTGGGGTCCCTTCTGATAGGAATAGAGGGGCAGCTAAGGCCCCTTCACAACAGCCTCCCCTGGGGAGGCTTAGAGAACCTGTGGTCCTATACTCTGCAGGAGTCTGCTAGGTCCAAAGCCTTCCATACTTTCTTGGAGCTATGTGACCTTAGGCCCATCAGTCTGCCCCTCTGTACCCAGTGGCCTCCTATGTTGGATAGGATAATATTAGTATCAACCTCATGGGGCTATTATGGAAATCAAAGGAGCTGGATAATGGGAAGTGCCTACTACAGTCCCTAGCTAGGTCACATTGGCTACCATTACTGTTTGTTTCACGTTTTCTGTAAAGCACAGCATCTGGTTGGCCCTTTGAGGCATGGCATTGGAAGTCCAGAGACAAAGCAGGCTCCCAGTTCCAAAGGAAGACAGGAACACAGACCTGAGGAGAGGTGGCAGAGAGATGTAGGCAGCACCTCTAAGTTCTCATTGGGTGGTTCTTGTGCTCAGTCCTGAGGTCTTAGATGGTCCTGGCACCAACTCAGAAACAGCCCCTGTCTTCAAAGGAGCTGATGATCAAAGAGAGTACAACGAACCTTACACTTTATAAGGTGGTGAACATCTTCAGAACAGACCTTGCCTCTACCCCAACATTACAGTCACTACAGGTGGAGACGCAGAGGAGCAAGTGGTTCTTGCCAAGGTTCAAAGTCTAGGCCTTGGAGCTCCAGCCCATAGCACTGCCCGCAGGCTCTGGGCCCATTTTCAAAGACAAACAGATGAGAAACATGACATAAACAGACCTGACTGCTTATAACAAGCCACCAAAGCATGGTTAGATCTGGTCCAGGACAAGAATTAGTTTCTACTTTTCTGTAGCACAGTGGGGTAACTATGTAGGTATACGGAATAATATGTATATCAAAATAACCTAGAAGAGTAAAAAAGTTCTCAACGCATAGAAATGCATACTGTGTGAGGAGATGGAAATGTTTATCACCCCGATGTGATCATTACTCAGTAGATACCTGTAGGAATTATCATCATACCATAGCCCATAAAGATGTGTGAATATCCTGTATCAATAATCTCACCACTCATTTCTTTGATATGGCTGGGTTCTGTTGCCAGCACTGGGGTGTATGGCTTAAAGGTGAGCCGACTTTCCTTTAGCCTCTTCCCTGCTCCACAGTTCAGTGCAGAGCAGTCTGCCCTCCTTACTGGGTGCACTCACACAGGGCTGCCCCCGGGACAAGGGGGACACAGCCCCCAGCTCTGATTTTTAGAAACACTGCCTGCTGCCTGGCTCCCTCCTCACCTGCACTCCCAGCCGGGCTGGAGAGAGCAGGCCTTGAGTTCAGGGACACTCAGGCTGCTTCGGGTTAAGATATTCCTCCCTGGGGACAGCTCACAGTGTTTCCCAGCCAGAGAGGACCATGGTGTTCTCCTCAAAAGGATCTAAAGGCATCTGGGGAGCTTCACGCCCACCCCAGGAAGCTGCACATCGTGACCTCTTAATTTATTTCTTTTGGCAGAAATCAGAATCCAAATTGACTTCCATCATATTTTGGAGGAAGAGGTGAAGGGGAAGAGGCCAGCCAGATGCTATCTTTTCTCCTTTAGCCCTCTTCCATCTGTCCTATGACTGGAAGGCTTTCCACTAAAAGTCTCCTTGGTTTTGGCCAAGACGACCTCATGGGCCATGTGGTCCATTGGGAGACTGCACAGCCTGTGTGCTGGATCCACAGAACTCCAGAGACCACAGATTTCCTGCATTCTCTATCACGTCAATAAAAAATAAACTGTCACCCACCTTAGGATAGCTGGAAAACTGTCAAAGAAGTTGAGCTGGACCAGAATGTCTCCTGTTTGTTAAAATGTTGAATTTTCATCTTTTCTTTGCTGCTGCTTCAACTCCAGTGAAGCTTGAAATTGATAATGGGTAACAGCAGCGACACAAGGTTGGCTAATTAGCTGCCAGATACCAGTGGCAGGTGCCCATCACACCCCTGTGTCCAAGCTCCCTGCCAGTGGGGGGCTAGGAAAGAGTCTTGTGGTCAACTAGTAATGTCTCCTCTATGACTCTGAACTTTTCAACAACAGCATAATAATCTTCAACACTCGAGGGTAACAGGAACTACATCTCAATTGGTGATGGTCAATTTTTAAAGCCATTATTCCTAAAGGCCCAAGAATATTCAAGTGAATAACCAAGTTTGAAACCAGTCTGTGATGGGATACTACGCAGCTCCCAAAAAGACACTGCTATAGAGAATACATGAAGATATTAAGAAAGGTTGGAGATGTAGTAGTAAGTGAAAAATTCTGACCCCAAACTGAATTTGTGGTATAATTTCCTTTTATTTATTTGTTTGTTTGTCTATTTTTTTGTACCAGGAATTGAACCCAGGACATTATACTGAGACGCATTGCCAGGCTTTTTTATACTTTATTTTGGGGAAGGTTCTTTCTAAGTTGCCCAAAGTTGGCTGGAACTTGTGATCTTCCTTCCTCAACAACCTCCTGAGTTCTCAATTCGCATTTTTGAAAACATTTTTTCACATTAAAGATAGAAAATATACCAAATATCCTGCATTACATTAGATATTTTTCTTATTATTACTTTTCTTTCCTCCTCAAATTTTCAATAATGAGAATAAACTACTTTTATAAGAAAAGAAACTTGTTTTTCAATATCTGAGCCCCAGACTGCTAGGGTAGAGGCTTCCTGGCAGATGGGTGACTTGAATCTATTCACAGCACAGTGCACGCCCTTCTTTGGGTGGTTTTAGGAATACACGTGAGTCCCCTGCGCCCATCTCTGTGATGGGAATAAAGGACCTGAGGCACCAGGCTTGTCAATACCATTTCAGAACTAGGTGTAGTGGACATATTTGTAACCCCAGCACTTAGGAGGCTGAGATAGGCCTGAGTTTAAGGCCAGCCTGTCCTTCATCATGAATTCAAGACCAGGCTGAGCTATATAGCAAGACCTTGTCTCAAAAAACCTAAATAAACAGATATTCATTATTGATTCTCATCCCTACTGTCACACTATAAAAGTCACTGTTCGACTTACAGCAGGAGATGATGTGTTTCACCAAGAAAGGAGGAGTCTCTTCTGAACCTGGAGCCAGGCTGGGGACTCCCACCCATCTCAGGTGACCTTTTGCTTCATTCAACTCCCAGGTACAGAATTCATGGCGTAAGAACACTTACACTATGTGTGTGACTCCCCATAACTACTTAGTGTCCTGAGTGAGCCAGAGGGGCTAAATAAGTGCTCCTTGAGACCGTTTAGCAATAGTACTTTTACCTAACATTTACTGAGCCCTGATTATGTAGCAGATCACAGAGCAGTCCTTCCATACACTTTGCCTCAAATCCTTATCTCTCATCCGAGGTCAGAAAGTCTCCGTTACTGATGAAAACACCAAGGATTGGAGAATTGAAGTGGCCTTTTCAAGTGCACACAAGTCACCCAGACTTCAGCTGTGTGCCAGGTTCTTCTGCCTGTATACCACACTTCTCCCTGGCTGTAAAATGGCCTGGGCTCCCCTAGAGACAGTGCATAGCTGTCACCCCAGCAGAGCTGGCTACACCCATGGGGGGCTGTACACTACCAGGGCAAGAGGCTGAATCACATTCCTAGGGGATCCCCCATCAGTGCTGTTCCAGGCAGGAAGCCAGCCCCTCCCAGATCCGTGATGTCCCATTGATGACACCCATAAAGCACTGTCACAGGGAAAGGAAGACGTCATCAGCCCACTTTGACAGCTGAACTGGGACTTCAAGAAGTTAGGTAACTTTCCCACAGATATGGCCAACAAATAGCAAAGTCAGATTTGACCAGGCCAGCTTTTACCCCAGATCTGCCTGTCCCCTGGCTCTGCACCCTGCTGGGCTCCAACACCTTCACCTCCCCTCTACCTGGCCTTGCAGTTTCTGCAGCACAGCTGCTGGGAGCAAGGCTGTGTGTGCAGTGATGGAGTGGGTTCCCCAGCCCCTGAGCCAGCTATCCAAGTTGCTCTCCTGGCCTGCCATGGCTCCCAAAGACGGGCCAGAACTGTAATGACTATGGTAGATCTTCCCAGAGCCCTGGGAGCTGTAAGTGTGTTTTATTGTTTAGCACATTGGAAAAAACAGAAAACTATGCTTTCAGGCAGAGTCGTACAAGAGCGCTGGCCCAAAGTAAAATATGAGCTGGAGAAAAGGGTTTGCAAGTGCCTTCCTAACTGAACCAATACTCCGTGTGTCCATCTCTGTGTGTGCGCATAAGTACGCACATCCATACACACATGTGTGGTCCATTCGGGATTTCCATCTCTGACTGGAACCCCCAAAGGGAAAGAGAAAATAACATCACAAGTCTGTATGCACTGTATTTACTGAATTAAGATCTGGTGTGCCT